ATGTACGCAGTCTTACCCCTATATTAAAGCACAAAGAGACTGTTTCTGGATGACCCATGGCCATAGTGAACATCACGTCTAAAATTGCAGGGACCCATCGCTGCTTCATAACAAAGAAGCGTAGACAGTTTAGTGAGTCATTTTGCTTTATTCCATCATAATGTCAAGCCAAAAGATAGTGAGTCCTTGGCTCCATTACAAATGATAGAAAACATTATAGATTAGTGTATATAATTAAAATATAAATCATCACAAAATGAGTAAAATCACAAATATTTAAAAACTTACACCGTATATGTAAGACAAATTAAAGATGCGTTTGTATTTAATTCTTAAATCTTAAATCAATAAGGCTCGTAGTGTAAACTGTAAAGCTCCGGTTTGATCAAATCAAAATGAATGGATCATGGATGTAAGTATATAGAAACTTTTAAACAAATCATATCTCATAACCCAACTCATTTTAGCTCCGGTTTGTTTGTATTTTAATATGTCTCTATTAGGGCCGCACCAATGCTATACGTAGGGATGGACTCGGGCCAACCGGCCCGGAACCGGACCGGCCCGCTACTGTGCGGGCCCGGACCGGCCCGGTGAACCGGTTAGTGCCCGGTTCGGGCCACCCGGCCCGGTAAGAAAGCGGTCCGGGCCCGGGCCTGCTATTTAGTGAACCGGCCGGTTCGGGCCCGGTCTGGGCCGAATTTAATTTTTTTTTTTTTTTTGATTTTTTTTTAAGCTTTTGGGTTGGGCTGGGTATTTTGGGCCATTTGAGGTGGTTTGGGGGTGAGGGGGGAGGGTTGGGAGTTAATTAGGAGAAGCCAAAAAAAAAATTATATAGAACCGAGGCCCGGCCCGGAACCGGGGTTACCCGGACCAGTTCCGGGCCTCCCATTCCTGAACCGAGGCCCGGCCGGGCCCAGGCCGGAACCGGTCCACCCCTAGCTATACGTAGTAATTTTTAATATATTAAATAAGAACGACAATGTTCATAGATTTATCTTATTTGACAGTTAAATTGTATTTAAACTATATTTAGAGAATTATATATCATTCATAGTGAAGATGGGTGTAAATGTAAATGAACACACATTCACCATAGCAGTAAGAAAAACAAAATTATATGAACAACCTATTTTGCATCAAAATCAAAAGCTCAAATGATATTTAAATTGCAATTATGTAAAAGTGATTACTTTCAAGCCAATATGTATTGATAACAATTTTAAGAGCTATATTGATTACATATCAGTTAAATCGCTCCTATTGTTTAAGCAAATCTTGACTGAATTTGTAATTTAATACGGAGTAAATACATATTCTTGTAGATGAATCAATTAAAATATAGGGATATTCATGTAGATGAATCCAATATAATGTAGGGGTGACAATGTGGTTGATTCCAATCAAATCTGACATAAGTATGCATCTCATTTGGGAGGAGCAAAAGTAACCTGAAATAATTGAAACCAAATTAGTAAATTAGCATAACTTACCAAAACGATGTAAGCTAAAACTGACAATGTATGTACTCCTGCTGATTCACTATGGCCAAAGAAAATAGTAATTACTCAAGTCTGATATGAAAGTTTAATCGTTTAGAAATCAATACTCAAGTAGCTAGAGATACTAAAAGAAAAATTAGGCCACAGAAACAGGTTCCTAAACATAGACTTAAAACTTAATAAAGTTAAGATGCACTAACAAAAATTAAGAGCCTGGTTGGGATGACTTAAGTGCTATTAAAAGAACTGCAAAGCTCCAACCAAGAGATTATTGAATAAGCATAGTTTTAAGCACTTACTTCATTCCCGGCCAAAGCAAAGGCCTTTTAAAAAAAAGTAAAAGTACTTTTATTGGTAAAGCAAAAAAACACTTCTTATTTGAAAATAATGGCACCAATTCCCAAACGCACTCCATCCATACGGGACTACACCAAATTTAAAAAATATATAGGGCATGAGAACCTGATTTTCATCAACACGCTTACATGGCCATGTTACGATAATAGTGCTCTTCTTACTCTTCTTAATTTTCTTCTTCTTCTTCAGGAGCCATCTGAAAACTGCCACAACTGACCTTACACATCTGATGCTTCACTCATTGAAGGATTGATTTAAGAGAAGGGTTCAAGACATAAGTTTAATTATTTCTTAATTGAACTCATAGTTATTCATGCTTCATTTTCATGAGTGAGGCGACTGAGGCATCAGACCAATGGAGAATGACAAAAATTAGTGGAGGAAGTTAGGAAATTGAATGGGTGAAGGGAAGAAGGGGTGAAGGGAATATGAAAACTATTTGGAATACGTGCACTTTACATATGTTTACACTTAACTTGGAAAGGATGCTACGTATAGAATGATAAATGAACTTAAAACCTACCTAACCTTAGTAAATACTTAAAACTTAATATCAATTTAAGACCCACCTAACTTTAATGCCACAGAAACCGGTTCCTGAACATAGACACAAGTACCTCATCATCCAATACCACTAATGAAATAATTTGTGAGCCTTAGGTCTAGGTTCAAAAGAGCACACTCCACTTGGTCTTGAAGCAAAAGCATTGCCCTATTTTGAGGAAAATATATACCCATCGAATAGTTCCCCACACGATTTTATTTAACCAACAAACTGCCCCGATAAAAAAACAACTGCTAAAGATCATATGGGCAAACTGCTAAAACATAAACACACATATAAAGGTCTATCAAGGTTTACTCCTTTAAAGTTGGTTAGTAATTCAAATCTTAACATCATATAATGAAAATCATGTGAGTAACATACGGAGTAAATTAGAACCATGGTTCAAGCATGTGGCAGCAAAAAAGCATGTATTTGAGATTGTATTTGCAAATAATCATAAAGTTTTCATATTTGCATAGTTTTTGAGAAAAAAATATAAATGTTATGATCATGGTTTCTGGGAAACTACTTTTTGTAGAAAACATGACAAACCTTGTGAAGACTACACCAATCTAGATGCCAAAAAACCTGAAACAATGAAAGACCTTTTCTCAAAATCAAACCAAAAACATACTAAAGTATTGTGATAAAAGAAAAGTTAAAGAATAGTCTAAGAGGGATTTGAGAAGTTTCAAGCGATTTCAGAAGTTTCAGTCTCTTTCTTTGCTCTGTGTCAAAGAGGGATTCTGGGGGTATGCTTACGATTGCATTCGTGCTTGTGGATCTCTGAGACAGCGAAATTGCAATCAGCGAAGAGATAGGTAACAAACGATCTTGCAGGGGTAGCAACACCTTCCATTTGTTCAGGTTGTTCTGATTTCAATGAAGAATTCATGGATGATGAGTGAAGGTATTTCAGGCGTTTAGGGCGAGGTGAGATGTAGAAGGAACGAAAGAGTGAGGAAAGCCGAAGCCGTAGATTCAGATTCATAAAATCCGACGGATGAAAATTAGAGTTCAGGTGAGCGGGAAGTTGTTTTCTAAAGTTGTAGTGCTATTAAGGAGGAGATTAGTTGATTAGTCATTAGTTTATACTTATTAATTGATTTTATTCATGAATCATGATTGATGATTCTTTTTTTACTGTCATGATTGATGATTCATTGACTCATAGTTGTTTAATATTTAAAAAATGAATAGTTAATAAATAATTAGTTGATTTGAATGATTAAATGATCTGTAGGTTGTTGAGTTTCATAATGTACTGAATTTGTTAGGTAAAGGTTTCAATTATAATTAAATTTATAATTATCTATGTCATCGAAGAAGTCAAATCCTCGATATGAGAACACAGTGGAGATGAATGATTTAGCTACAAAAAATGAAACGACACAGAATAATCATGTCATGGGAGGGGGAAATTTAGAAGTTGAAAATATTGGTAGTGAGAAACCAAAAAATCATTTGGGTGGATCAAATGTATCACCTTCAATTACTAATCATTTGATTTTGGATATTTATGATCATGCTGATGGGGGAAATCTAGATGTCAAACCAAGAGATATTGTAATTGAAAAAGGTCTGATGGTCCCTGATAGAGGTAAAAGTCTAGAGGGGGGGTGAATAGACTTTTAAAGCTTTTTCAACTTTAAAAACTTTTCCCTACTATATTTGATGATCAATAACCTTTTGGGAGATTAAAGATACACAGCGGAAGTCTTGACCTTTACGTAAACAGTGTATGACAACTTTCTATTTAAAGTATGTGGATAAAGGAGAAGTCTGGAGGACAGTCAGATAAGTTTCATGTTATCAAAGAAACTCAAGTAGAGTATTTAAGTGAGATTTAATCTTATCTAGAAAGGCAGTAGTCTTGGCAGTTGTGTAAGCAGTGGACTGAGCAGTAGGGTAACTCCCAGAGTACTGTTGAGACTATTGTTTAGTAAAAGATATGATTTTGAGACTTCTGATTGAACTGGGATATTTATGAAGAGTGTATAAGGCTTTTGTGATATTTGGATGTCTTTAAGAGAGTGTATAAAAGGGCAGTGGGCTAAGCAGTGGGGTAAGCAGTAGATTACTGCCGAGGTGACTGCTAAAGCAACTGCTTAGTTTAAGAAGTGTTTGGTGTGTGCTTTGTTGACTGAAAGTAAATCAACACATGATGTATCCTGGTTCAGAGGTGGTGTAATCCTCCTACATCCAGTCTCACCCACTTTCAGATGGATTTCCACTAAAGTATCAAACCCAATACACTTCTTTGCCACACTTACCGGTGGACATACGTAATGCACCTGGAACTTCACAAACTATTCCTTCAGTCTCAAACGTTGCTCATTTGACAGAGTCATCATCAACTTCTTCAGTTGATTTGTTTCAGCAGCTCTCTGCATCAACCAATCAAAGTCTTGATTCACATCAAGTGTCACACATTCCTGCATCAGGTTTTGGTTTATTCTCATCAGAGGTTCCTAACCAGCAATCAGCTGCACCATCTGGCAACACCTTGAAAAATGAGGGATGGGCGACATTTGACACGCCTCAGCACAATGCACCTGTGGAAAATGAGAAGTTTACACCAGCTTTTGCATCACCTTTACCTGACCCGTTAAAACTTTTCTCTGGGATGCCACATCAGCAGTCAGATGCAGTATGCAACAAAAGTCCATCAAATGTTGTTACCCACATGGATGGTGGCTGGACAGCGTTCGACATGCCAAATCACACAGCACAAATTGGCTCTGGCTCTTTAGAAAATTATAGCCATCATTCATCTCCCTTGAGTGGACTATTCTTTCCGCATCCCGACGTCCAAGGAGGATATCCATCAATGCCTGCCCCATTACATGGAGGCATCCAAAATAATGAAGCGACCCTACATGGAAGCTCTGAGCCATGGAAAGCATTTGGGAGTTCCAGTGATTTCTTTGCATTACCAAGGGATCAAATTAGTACTCAAGAGGTTTTAACCAGCCATCTTCCTATTACTGATCAGTATCTGGGGTTAAAAGGATCAGAGAACTTTGCTGATCATGGAATTTTAAGAACAGAAGTGGAAGTTGGCAACAAAACCATATGAACTTGCAAACATCAAATCTACCAATCCATTTGATCTCCCCTATGAACCTCACATGCAATTCAACAGTACGCCCGATTTCTGGGACATGAGCTCCTTACAAGCTGGATTGCCAAATGGAAAGATGCATACGCCCTTTGTTGGTGGCGATGTAAGAGCGTCTTGGTTTTCACAGAATTCATTTTCATTTTACGTTTCAGCTTTGGGAGAAGATACCTCGGGATTCATTTCAGCACAACCTACAGGCAGCCAACCGAATGATTTGCCAACACAAGGGCCTATTGCTCCTATTGGCGGAAACCCCTTCGCATGAAGATACACACACACACACACTTTCTGCTCATTATCATTTGCATTTTGTTTATTTATTTTTTATATATTGGTATCAATGAATTGGGTTAGGCCACTTTTTTCCCTAACTAGTATTGTATTTAAAAAGATGGGGATGATTTTGAGTTGTAAAAAAAAAAATCAAACCCAATACACTTAGTGCCAATCTGGTTATAACCACCCAACTAGCCTAGATTGAAGGTGTTTCACAAGGAGTACACACCACTCCAAGCTACTCAATCCTTAGATTTTCTCGATTGATCCAGTGGGGATCAAAAGCTACTATATTCTATTCATCCACACTTAGGACTAGATAACACTGTCCTTCTAAGTGTTTACAACAGATTGGTATTTAACAAAAATTCTAGCCTCCAATTAAGAACTAAACTTCCCGAATGTAGCAATGAGAGCTCTAACTTGGAAGTGCAGTGAAGCATGAGTCTAAGCAGAGAGCAAAGTTAAACAGGCACTTTCTCGTTTGCTAGATATCTCTTAAATGCTCGATATGAATTTCTCTACTTAGAAGGCTCTCAAAAACTTGGTTTTGAACTCATGCTTATGCCTGTATTTATAGGCTTCTCCGGTTGATTAATCTTCTCCGTTGGTTGAGAGGAATTAATCTTTGATGTTGGATGTATTGTACTTTCGTCTTCTTGTGTTGGAGCAGTTTTAAAAGAGATTTCCTTTATCTTCTCAGAGCTGCATAATGATCAATTTGCAAGATTATCTTCAGGATACAGTATGTGTACCCATACCTTAGGTCCTCCATGCACTATTCACCTATTAATAGCTTTTGGCTTTGCCTGCAATCATACACGTATAGTGTAGTGTATGGCGTGTAATTGTATATACCGTGTTCTAATTGGAACTTAGTAAGTTTGTGACTTCAACCTTTTTGTATCAAATAAATTTGTACTGGTAGGATTTAAATATCCTTTTAAGGTAAAAGAAAATTACCTTATTGCATTTTATATTTCCAGTGCAATTTATTTGGTACTAAAAAATGTACATTTTAATTTGTCACAATGGACCAGTTGATAGTGTACCTTTGTGACTGTTTAATTTATGTATCAAATAAAGTTATACTGGTAGGATTTAAATATCCTTTTAAGGTAAATAAAGTTTACCTTATTGCATTTTAATTTTCCAGAAAAATTTATTTGGTACAAAAATTGTACATTGTTAATTTGTCACTTCGGAGTAGTTAATAGTGTACTCCTTTCTTTTTAGTACATCAACCAAATTTGGACATGGTCACTAAAAATAGGAACACGAGTTCAAACAGGGGCTTAGTATAGTGGTATCATCAAAATCTATCAAAATTGGGTACTAACAAGGTCGTATAAGAGAAACACAACTCAATTATCTTCTTGATGCTAAGTCTAGACATTTCTCAAATGTCTACTACACTAGAAAGATGAAATATAAGGAAAGTGAAGATAGATCGTGGTTGGTGTTCTAAATAAAGTAGATAAAGTGTTTTGTTTTTATTGCAAGTTGTTCAAAACAAAAGAGGGGCCTAATCTTATAGCGAATGAAGGATTAAATGATTGAAAACATTTGAGTAAGAAACTTTCTAGTCGTGAGAAAAGCATTCAAATGGTAATGGGAGACGTATTCAATCTAAGGAGATCCATTATCATTATCTTAGTCACAAAATTCAGAATGAATTGATTTTGAAATTAGCATTGGGTCTTGGGTGTTAAAAGTACAATTAACTCACAAATCAAGGCTACTAAATATTTTTCAATCATTTTTTATTCCAATCACAAAGATCAAATAAATTTGATTGTAAAATGTGTGGATATGTCATCAAACAAGGCTCAAGTTCTTGAATTTTTTAGAGTTTATTGAAGTGTTTGATAGAGTGGTGATAGCTCTGGATTAGGGCTCTTTGGTAAATTGGAGTGTATTTTGGCTTTATGTGAATTTGACATTTATGATGTACGCGGACAAGGTAATGATAAGCATCAGGGTGTTCAAAGAAGATTGCTTGATATTAATCGAAGAGTTTTTTACATGTCTTGTGTTTGTCATGGTCTTCATTTAAACATTTCAGATATGGTAAATGTTTGTTCTAGAGCTATTACATGTTTTGGATGTGCTCAAAAATTGTATACATTGTTTTCTTGTTCAACAAAAAGATGGGAAATTTTGAAATAATGTGTATATAGTTTTATCTTGAAATCATTGTCCACCACTCGTTAAGAATGCCGTCAAGAAAGTGTGAAAGCATTTGTAACCAAAACTTCTCAAATAAAAGAAACTTTAATTAAATTGAGAAAAGATTATCCCGATTATTCGTCAAAAAGTGACATCAAAAGTGTGCTCAAACCGTTGGAGAAATTTGAATTCTTATTGGGCATTATAATATGGTATGACGTTTGGCATCTGATTAATTAATCAGGTCACTAAATTGTTACAAATTGAAGATATGTGTATCAACACTTGTGTGATGAATATGAATGATCTGCTTATTCATTTAAAAAAATATAGAGAAGGGTTTGAAGCTACTCTGAATACTACAAAAAACATTGCTCTTAAAATGATACTTGAACTTAGTTTTCCTGAAAAACGATTGACGCGTAGATAAAAGTACTTTGACAAATACAATGTAGAAGAATATGAAAATAAGTACCGAAGGGACTCTTACTTTAGATAGACAACCACCCTCAATTCGGTCGTCAGCCCTTGGATTAGATACATAGAATATTTTGTGCGAAAAATACAACAATTCGCTAATCACTGAACGGGCAACTTGAAGCATACCATGACCAAAATGGAGAAATTGCCCTCGAGAACACCCACCACCTCAGTATGCCAAACCACATGCAGTCACAATAATAAAAAAATAACCTAATGTCCCGACTAATGAAAACAAAAACGAGAGTAGCTGTGAGAGTCTTAGAGAAAAAACAAAATTGGAAAAATCATAAATGGCAACATGTGCAATACGTCTTCAGTATGACTTCTTTTTGCTTCCCAAATTCTTGACCCTCACATGCACAAATAACACAACTAGATTCTTTATCCACTAGATCTCTTACCAGTGTGGTCATCTCCATACTACTAGCATTGTTAATTCCCTGTTTAATTTTTTATATCTAAAACTAGCCACTGGTTACCTCCACCACCACTGCTACGCCCATTATTCGTTGTCATGCACGACCCAAACTCCTTTTCTTGTTTGGAGTTGGGTTGTCCAAGAACGTGAGGGTATAACCTATCTGCATGGCCAATTATACCATACGTAAAGCAAAAGTTGGGAAGTCTTTCAATTCTGAGATCTACCCATAATCAATCCTCATTAGCTTTTTGAACTTTCAATTTTTTCGCTTTCCTATAGCGAGACAGACCGGAATCCTCAAATAGGTCCTCTAGCGTCCCTCAAATTTGTTTTCATCAAGCTTGACAAATTTTCCTAGGTTGTTCCCAATAATTATTGCCACCTTTAAGATCATGTAACCTACAACTATTTTAACGTCTTTGCAAATTAGATTTGACCAATTGAAGACTTTAAGCGTATATTTGGATTTTTGTTCAATTCAAGGAACTTGAAATCATTGGTTCATGAAAAACTGAAGGAATGTTGTGAGATACTTGCAGATGCTTTAGATGATTTACAAGATGGTGAGAAAGAAGATGTGGATAGGTATGATCTCATTCAAGAATGACCTACTAGATGACTAAGATATTGTCATTAAACTTCTTGATTTTGTGAAGATTATGGGTTGTTGTCCGAACACAACAATTGCTTATAGGATACTATTGACAGTACGAGCAATTGTGGCTATTGCGGAAAGAATTTTTTCGAAGTTGAAGATTTTAAGAAATTGTCTGTGATCAACAATGTCTCAAGAAAGGCTTAAGGGATTAGCAATATTAAGTTTTGAGCATAATGTGTTAGAACAACTTGATTCACTACTACAAGAATGATATATAACGTCGGTTAATTAATTGCCACATTTCACGTCGGGTTTTATAGGATCGTGCATGTAAGTAACATTGTAGGTAGGAATCTATCATGTTTGTTACTGAACCAACGTGATAAGTATGTTACAATGACGGTGATTGTATATAGTAGACTTTGCTTCACAATGGTCAACGAGAAATGTATATAAGTAATTTTGTTATTTTGTTATTATTTCTAGTACGTTTATGCATGTTAGTTTAGATAGAAAAGGGTTTTAAATTTTCTTTTTAAGGATTAGGCACATTGTAAGCTATCCGTCCTTAGGCCTTCAAACTTACAAGACCGGTCCTGATGATAAATAACATAATTTAAAATAACTTATTCTATTTTTTATTTAGACAAGTGTGTGTGCGTGCGCGCTCTAAAGTTTCTTATTTTGTGCTTAGTTAATGGGAAAATAGATGAATAATATATGTTATCTAAGGTATATTTTAGTTTAATACATACGACAACAACAACATCCAAGCCTTATTCTCAAAAGATTTTGGAGTCGACTAACATGAATCGATCCATGATATCATAACAAAAAAAGAAAAGAAAGATAAGAAAGATAAGAAAAAAAAGATAAGGTAAGATGAAATGGATAAGATAAAAATAACATAAGAACATAAGATAGATAAAAGAGAAAAGAGATAAAGAACATAAGAAAAATAAAAGATGAAAATAACATAAGAACATAGAATGATAAATAAAATAAAAGATAAAAGGAAGGAAAAAGATCAATCGTCCACACGTATACGCACCTTGTGCACTTGCTTTGTCCAAAGCAATACTCTCATCCAACCCAAGAACGAGCATATCAGTTCTGATTCCTTTAATCCAAGTTTGTTTGTGTCTCCCCATGCATCCTCCTCTTACCCGTCTGTTCTCCCCAGCTCTCAACTCGTCTATCAAGTTCATCAATCGATCTTCTATGCATTTCATTTAATACATGGACACATTTTTAAGCAATAAAAAGTTGTGTAATAAAAAATAAAAGTAACTAATAATATAACAATAAAATATCTTTGTCATGCAACATCAAGCAAAATGTAAATAATGATTTAAGATATCAATAAATTAGTATTATAACAAAAGACTAAAGTGTATATACAAGTATTTTACTTATTTAAACCATAAATATTAAATGTCAACATATTGCAAATCACAATAAATTTTGTATC